CAGCTTGGTCTGAGATAATATTTGTTGATGTTGCAGGCGTACCCCGTATCTTCACGGACGAAGAAAATGCGGAAATTGACAAACTTGAATCAACATTGTCCCTTGAAAGTGGACAGTTTTTTGCAGAGTACATCAAAACTTCGAGGATCAATATCAACATCAGGCAAGTTTYCTGAGTTGTATGCATTCTCCTGCTCTCAAGGAAAGAATCTGTATTAGCATTGAGCCAAGAATATTTGAGAAGCAATCGTGTCTTCTGTTACACTATTTTTGTTTTCTATGTTCTTAGGGCCAATAGAATTGACTGTAACGGCAAAATTTATATACAAAAGCAGAATAATTTCTGCTGAAACTTGAGCTTTTAGGCCGTAGTTGAAAACAATAGTATAATTACAAAAAAGAAACATCAGTTTTTAGATAACATATCSTATATTGTAGTTTTGGAAGTCGGATTAAAAACCATTTGGGTGCCTATAAACTAAAGTTTAGGTGGCTGGTTAGGCAAGGTAGGTATACTCTGTTCGTCTCTGAAGAAGTTTTGTGGATCCACGGCAGTTTTCACTTTCACCAGCCGATCAAAATTYYCTCCATAATACTTCCTCCCGTAAACCTCGGCTTCTCTGTAGCTATTTGGGCCATGGCTATTAACTCCAATATCCAGATCCCTGTAGTTGATGTACGCATGTCTAGGGTTCTTGGTCACAAAAGGAGCCATGTAGCTATAGAAGCTTCTCGTCTGTTGTAAGAAACTGCTTTCTGCTTCGGTTCCCGGATCTTTCCAGTTCATCGAATGCTGGATTTTGTAAAGCTTCTTCCTGTGCGGGAATGGAGTCGCCGTTGTAGCTACTTGGTTCATTATCCCTCCGTATGGATTAAACACTAAACCGATTTTCCCAACCTCGATCATTTTCTTTACCAAGAAATCCAACCCCTCTTTAGTGATCTCTTTCTCAACGAAATCCGATTTCCGTTTCAGGAATGAAGCGGTATCCGGGTTTCGTTCCAGTAGAATCTCAGGTTTAACCTGTGTAGCATTATCGTTATTCGCCCACCACAACACTGACTGTATCCATGTAAGTTCCGTACAATTCTCCTTCTTCAGGCCAAGCTCTGGGAAATCTTTAGTTAGCAGAGACATGACATCGTTCGAGTTCCCAAGAAACAGAGCCACCACCGATGCTCGAACAGTCTGGTTTCCTTTTCGAGTCACTGGCTGTAACAATAGCCTCATGAACAGACCTGGATCGGTCTTGGGAGCAACGAATTGCCATTTATGGACCATGTCGATAGCATTTTCGTTCAAGTTTTTCTCTACTCTGAAAACGGTAACAGTTGGTGGAACCGGGACGAGTTTGATTCTGAAAGCTAAGATCACGCCAAAGCTCGCGCCACCTCCGCCTCTAATCGCCCAAAAGAGATCTTCTCCCATTGATTTCCGATCAAGAATCCGTCCGTTAACATCTACGACTTTGGCGTCGATAACATAATCAACCGAAAGTCCGTACTTTCTGATCATGTTTCCATAACCACCACCGCTAATGTGACCTCCAGCACCGACCGTGGGACAAACTCCGGCGGGAAATCCGTGGCTTTTGGTTTTTTCCCAAATCCTGTAGTAAACCTCACCGAGCGTGGCACCAGCTCCGACCCAGGCGAATTCGCCTTCGACGGTGATGTTACGGAGGTTTGACATGTCGAGAACGAAGAAAGGAACGTGAGCGAGGTAAGAAACTCCTTCGTAGTCATGACCTCCGCTTCGAGTTTTTAGTTGAAAGTTTAGCGATTTGGTGCATAGTACTGCGGCTTGGACATGAGCCTCGGAACGCGCCGCGATTACAATCGCTGGTTTTGGCGTTGCGGAAGTGTTGAAACGCGCATTTCGGATGTAAGCGCGTAAGGTCGGGGTGAAAGCGGCAGCGGTTTGCGGTAGAACAACGTCGGATAATGAGTTAGGAGGAGTTTGTGTTTGGTTTGTGAAACATTGGAGAAAGTTTTGGTAAACTGAGTCCGAAGAATTGGCGGCAAGAGAAGTTGTGGAGACGAATAATAAGAAGAGGTGCAAAACTAAACAAAAGAGCTTCATTGTTCTTCTTTGTTGATTGAAATTTGTTTTGGTGTTTTTATACAGTATAAATAGTACATGAGTTCTTGATTTTTTTTAGTCATAATTCTTCTCTTTGGCCATTATTAGGATTCGTTAGTAATAATAGTCAATAGGTTTTTCTTAAATCTTTTTTTGGTTTGTTATTTTGGGTTTTTAATATAGTCAGTTTTGTTTTAGTTTTCTATGATGTGATAACTGATTTGAAGAAAGATTCTTCTAGTTCAATATATATGATGGTTGCAACGAGAGACGACCCTAATTACAAACAAGTCAAGCGTTTGTTTGTAACCATTCGTCTGTTTATTCATTTGATAGTCCAGTAATTATGGAAATATATGTATCCACTAGTTGTCTAGTTGTAACTTGGTATTTTTTTTTTAGCGTTTGTTAGATTTTTGATTGATAAAAATGAAAACAAAATAAGTGAATCTTTCCAAAGAAGCATAAGTTCATAGATTTTTTTTCACTTTTCAAATTATGTCAACGTGAATCCAGAAGCCTTGTCTCAGCTTCAACAATGTAGTAGACTAGTAGTATATACATGAATACATCGAGGAAATGACGTAGAATGATCTCAAAAATGAAAATAACGAGTAGATTATATCGCACATCACAATAATTTTTATGACGGTCCACTTTTTCAGCTCCACTGTCTTGTAATTCTTTTTTCTCTAAGTTCAAATGGATTTTTACCATATTTTTTCAATGTAAAAACCGTAAAAGTTTAGAAGTTTGAGTTCGAATTGCACTTAGGGTTTGAAGATCTGGCTACGTTTCTTCCGTGTGTTAAGTGTCTAGAGATTTGTTCTATTTACATGTTTAATTTTAGAGATCTTTTTATCGAAAAAAAATCTTAGAGATCTGCTTTCTTTTTCTTTTTATTTGAAAACAAGAGAGATCTAACTTTCGATTGGCATGTTTAGGGTTTGGGATTTAAACCATCATCTTCGAATGAAGAATCGCAATAAAAGCATAAAAATCAAATGAATATTTAACTTATATTAAATCTCATCAAATATATAATAAGAATCATGCATGTTGACAAGTAAATCAAATCAATGATTTTGTTACATTTGGGAGGATAACACACATGGGAGTTTAACGAAAAATTTAGTTCCAACTATACACTTTCTTAAGTTTAAAATCCACAAAATTACTGTGATATATCCCATCCTCTTTAACTAGATAATTGTACGAGCCTCCGTGAGGCTCTCCCTTGTCTTGTTTATAGGCTTCAAACTTGATGGTACTTTTCCTGTAATCAGGTCCTTTGCTTACGGAACACCAGAAAAGCGTGTTTCCCAAAACGTTATCGCGGAACCCGAAATCGTAATCTTGTTGCGGTTTTAGATAACGAACACCCATATCATTGTTCCCGGATTTACAATGTGCCTTGAGCCATTTGTTGTAACTAAGACTGTTCCTGATTAAAATTGTGGTCCTCTCTCCTTTAAAGGGATTGCCATATACATTGTCAATCATGCAAAGCGCAAAAACAAATAGAAAGATTGAAATA